AGCGGCACCGGGCGGGGGGCGGCTGTCCCGGCCCCGCTGCGATCGCCCCGACGGCTGCGCCGCAGACAAAGCCGCCCCCCGCACCGTGCAGCGGATCCCGGGCCCGGGGTGGAGACGGTAAAAACCAGCCCCAGAGCCCAGTTTGGAGTCCGGTGCTGGATTCCGAGCGGGAGCCGCGCTGGCTGTGACATGATGTGACACCAAGCACGTTGTCGCCCCGACGAAGCTGATCACACCCCCACACGCACCCGCCCGCCCATGAAACACTGACGCCGTGACGGCACCGGTATGTGGAGATGTGGCGGATGCCCGCACCCCAGGACGGGCCGGGAGGGTCTCCCGCAAGGATCGGCYTCGGGAAGGGAGTGAAACACAGCGGGGAGAAGCAGCCGCCCCGTGCCACCGACACCACCAGCACTCGGCAGCGGCAGGAGCAGTGGGCCACGAGCAGAGAGCTCTGAGCGCCCTGAGCATCCTCGCGTGTGCTCCAGCTCCTGTGCGGTGCCCACGCTCAGAGCACCCAGAGCCCGGTGCGATCCTCAGGGAAGGGCAGGGTGGCAGCCACACAAAGCTCTCCCTTCTTCCCTTCCTCCTCCTGCACCCGTGGCACACCACAGCCAGCGCAGGGCCCGGCGTCGTCAGCTAAAACAACAAACACGGACGGCATTAGTACAAAGATCCCCTTGGGGTAAAGCAGCGCAAATGTAATCTAAGGAGAACGTTATGGGGAAGTGTGTTTATAATTATAATGGGATTTAATGTACTTTGGGAGCAGATGATAGCAGTCATTTAACGAGAACAGCCTAATAACGGAGGCCTGGCGATGCACGGCGGCGCWGCGCGGGTTATTAGACGCGTGCGATAACGCTGCGCTCACCGTGCTACGGTTAAGGCTAAGGCATCAACTCACTCCTATTTTTTCGGGGGTTATAATTCTGCTGTTGTAATTGGCAGAGAGCAGGGACGCACCGCACAGGCAGCCAGCGTGCCTGCAGGATGGGGTTTTTAATTGCCTCAAACTGCTCGAGTTCCTCCCTCTTCCAGACTTTACAATCTGAATGGCTGAGAAGGGGAAATAGTGAGACACTGTGGTTTCAGTTTGTTTACCCTTCTCTAACTTTTAAAAGGCTTGATTTCAGGACTGAAATTTTGCAGGCAGTTAGGGGTATGTTTTTAGTGTAGCTCACATGAAATTAAGCTGTGTGAGTCCCATTAGCAGTAATGGAAATCCCACGGCTAAATTCTCAGGCAGCATCCTGAAAATTAACCCCCCAGTCCTTCTTGTCAACTGGTGCGTTGCACTTTTTGTTGCTCCCCTARTACATATAGTAAAAGCTACCGAATTGTTTAAGACACCGACTTTCCAGGCTGCCTTTTGCTGAAAGCAGTGACCAGCTTGGTGACTGTGAGCAGGGACACACCACGTGCCCTGCCCAGCACCTGCACCCACAGGAGATGCCCTTCAGGGTCATTTCCMCATGTCCTGGAATAGGAACCAATCCCTCATCACTCCTCCCAGGTACCTTCCAGTCCCCTCCCATCTCTGCCCATCAGTTTCCAATTTATTTACTTTTCTGATCTTAATCCCCACCTTGTAGTGTAACGTGTTTATTAGAAAGGCACCAGCAGCTAAATGAAGCCAAGCTGGGCTCCGTGTTAAGTAGCAGTCACRCCCAAGTGCCTCTCCATGTGCCATTACTCCGAGTGATTGGAGCAATTTCTTCCTCYGCCACGAGTTTCACTTGTAAATCTCTCAACCAGATACGGGGTAATGATGTGCTGCCTGGTGCGATTATTATTAACCTCCAGCATTAAACCCCTGAGCTGGAGGTTCCTCAGGAAGGTCTTTCTGTGTGAGGACCAGCTGAAACATTCCCAGGAAAAGGAGGGATCCATTCAGATCCACTTGCAGCCCCCAGCCCCATCAATGACTTGGACAGGGAGATGTGAACATTGGCTTTCCCAGTGGGAATGTCCTGGCCAGCAGCACCAGCTCTGTGGAGGACAGGGACTGGGCAACACAGCAGCCTGTGAGTATTCTGAGGATGATGGCAAGGGCAGCCTTGGGATGCTTCTCCAAGAGACAGTGAGTGCACAGAGAGGAAAGTGAACCTGAGCAGTCCCCACAATTAGAGTAAGAAAGGAAATTCCTTGTTCAGSAGGCCTCGTCTACAAAAAACATCCTGGAACACAACTTCAGCCAGAAGGTGCCCCAGCATCACCCAGCCTGTAAAAATGGGAAGAGGAGCAGCTCCTCTCCATCAAATCCAAAACAACTTCTTCCCCACTCTGCAGTCAAATGCCCTTTTCCATCACCTACACTCCTCCAATGCCATCAGACACATTAATGTCCCCGTTCCCACCCCAGAGAGGGATGTGAGGACACGGCTCTGACTCCTCCAGCTTGCTCAGCTCCAACTTCAGCTGTGCCCAGCTCAGCTCTGAGCCCTGCACCCCTTCTCCCGCTCCTGCAGAGAACCAGCTCCCTGCAGGGTGGCTGACAGGCACATTCCCATCATTTCCTGGGACTGGTTGTGTTTTGCTTTTGATGTATTTGGAGTTTTCCAGTGTTCTCGGTTTTCCAGCCCTGCTGGTGCAGAACTGAATTACCAAACACTGGAGCAATGATGCTGTGCAAAATAAGATCTGTTTCAACTTCAGTGARAAATCCATGACTTTCAGAAACTGATTTTTGATGTGACCCCGGACCCTGAGGGAAGTTCCCAGCTCCTGAGAACCCTTTGGCTGCTCCCAGAGCAGGATTTCTCCAGGCTTTGCTTTGCCGGGAGCCGGGGCAGAGCACATTGCTCCGCTTGGGCACACGGCAAGCTGACAGCTTATGAAAAGATGATTAAATGTGTTAGACTTTATTTAAAAAAAAAAAAAAAACCTAAACGCACAAAGCTTGGGGGGGAGGGCAGAAGCTCAGTGTGCAGCCACGGTGCATTAAGGTTTGTGTGAACCCCGCTGATAGCACCGGGCTCTGTCCGAGCACACAGACACCAGAGCCGCGCATTGTGGCAGCCAGGGCAGCGCAGGGGCCGGGAACAGTCCCCTCATTGTGCCCCTCTGCACAAAGGGAACCTGAGAGTCACGCCCAGGATGCAACTGGATCGGGGGCTGCGGCCTGGGGTGGTGGGACACAGTTATCCACATCACAGCTGATCCCAAAGTGAGTTTTAGCCAGAGCTTGGCTGCAGCCAGGCCCCGCTGTGATGGAAAAGGAGAACATGCACAGCCTGATGGTTGGGACAGAGCTGCTGGACACACGTGGGCTGTCACCCTGCAGAAACCCTTGTCTGCCCTTCCCCATCT